ACACGTCATCTCCCTCTCCCTGTGATGGATGTGGAAGAGAGCTTTTTTTATTCTTATTATATCTATCTCCATAAAAGGAGGAACAGTTTTATTGTGGCTGTCAGCCAGAAAAATTAGACATATTGCTAATAGGAAGACCCATGGCAGCACCTCGTGGTTGATATACATGGTGACAAAATTATATTAGTTGAAGCCCCAATAAACTGAGAAACATTTTCTTGTATAAGTAGTTCAAGAAACTGCAGATCAAAGTACAATTACTTTGTTGTTGCTGTGTCTGACTTAGCTTTCTGGTCCATACATTAGAAAATTCCTTACATTTCCATTTCCTGTGTGTGTGTGTGTGTGTGAATACCATGCCCTTAACATTACTTGCTGGAAATGTTTGATGATTTGGGCATCTCAGTGTTTGATCCTGTTGTTAGATTATGAATTCCAAATGCAAGTTTCCATGTGGTAATTAAACACAATTCTAATCTTCCGTTTTTATAAATGGTTAAAGCTCATGCGAACAATTTATACCACGGAACCCTAATTATATATGACCAACTGATTGTATTCACATTACATGTCCACCACCTAGGGCAGTGGTCGGCAAACTGCGGCTTGCGAGCCACATGCAGCTCTTTGGCCCCTTGAGTGTGGCTCTTCCACAAAATACCACGTGCAGGCGCGCATGTACAGTGCGATTGAGACTTCGTGGCCCATGCGCAGAAGTCGGTATTTTGTGGAAGAGCCACACTCAAGGGGCCAAAGAGCTGCATGTGGCTCGCAAGCCGCAGTTTGCCGAATGATATGAGAAAAATACTGTGATGTCTCAAATTAAATTACAGTGGTGGAGAGTGAGAGGTAAGAGTGATGTAAGCAGTGAGTAGCTGTGGGCCAACTAACAATAGTCTGCTCACATTCCTGAATGGCTGTTGGAGCTTTGCATCAACTTCTATAGGGAACAAAGATGCCACCGCATCCTGTACGTGCATGAACTTTCAGGTCTGCTGCCCATACGTGATCAAAATTAGTAAATAGTTCATCTTTATGCACTGTGCACCCAGCCTTAGCCTAGAACTGTCTCTGCTTCACCGTGTCCTGGTCCCGCTCTGTAACCAATGTAAATTCTTTCAAAACTACTTACATCTTTCTTCCCCAAAACATGGGTGCAGAAGATCGGGCCTATCCCCCACAGCCCTGCTCCTGGTGGGTCGGACCGCACACCCCAGGACCTGGTTCTTTTTCTGGCAGCATTGGGCTCAATAACCCCTTTCTTTCAGGAAAGCTTTGGTAGATTGTCCCCTCTATCATAAAACGTCTATCTTTGCATCTTGTTACTTTCTTTATTTTGTGACCTATTTTGTCAGATGAAAGTATGGCTACACCACTTTTCTCTGGGTGTCGTTTGCTTGGAGAATCATTTCCCACACTTTCACTTTAAGTTTTATTTGTCCTTGCAGCTAAGATGTGTCTCCGGAAGGTGGCACATGGTTGGGTTTTGTTTTTGATTCAATCCACTACTCTGTGCCTTTTTAATGCAATCCACATCAAAATCCCAATGTCATTTTTTAAAGAAATAGAACAAGAAGTCATTAGATTTGTATGGAACCACAAGAGACCCCGAATAGCCAAAGCAATCCTGAGAACAAAGAACAAAGCCAGAGATGTCACACTCCCTGACTTCAAATTATAAAACAAAGCAGCAATAATCAAAACAGCATGGTATTGGCAGAAAAACAAACACACAGACTAACGGAGCAGAATTGAGAACCCAGAAATAAACCCCCATATATATAGGCAAATAATTTCTGATAAAAGAGCCAAAAATTTCTAATAGAGAGAAGAAAGCCTCTTTAATAAACGATGCTGGGAAAATTGGAAAGCCACGTGCAAAAGAATAAAACTAGATTGCCATTTGTCACCATCTGCAAAAATGAACTCAAGATGGGTCAAAGACCAAAATATAAGACCTGAAACAGTAAGTTACATAGAAGAAAACATAAGTACTAAACTTAAGGACCTTGGTCTTAGTGAAAATTTTATGAATTTGACCCAAATGCAAGAGAATTAAAGGCAAAAATAAATGAAAGGGACTACATCAAATTAAAAAGCAAGAGAAACCATAATCAAGACAAAAAGGCAAACAACACCTCTGATAAGCGGTTAACATCCAAAATATATAAAGAACTCATATAATTCAACAACAACAAAAATAAACAATCCAATTAAAAAATGGGCAGGGGATCTGAACAGACACTTCTCCCAAGGACATACAGGTGGCCACAGGTGTATGAAAACATGCTCAACTTCACTAGCTATTAGGGAAATATAAGTCAAAACCACAATGAGATACCACCTCACACCTGTTAGAATGGTTATTGTCAACAAGATAAATAATAACAAGTGTTGGAGAGGTTGTGGAGGAAAAGAAACCCTCATTCACTGCTGGTGGGAATGTAGATGGTACATCCACTATGACAAACAGTGTAGAAGTTCCCTAAAAGATTAAGAATAGAGTTACCATATGACTCAGCAACCCCTCTTCTGGGTATCTACCTGAAAGATTTGAAAACATTTATTCATAAATATATATTTACTCCTATATTCATTGCAGCATTATTCATGGTGGCCAAAACATGAAAACAACCAAAGTAGCCTTTGATAGATGATTGGATAAAGAAGATGTGGTACATATATACAATGGAACACAACTCAGCCATAAGAAGATAAAATACTGTCATTTTCGACAACATGGATGAATCTTGAGGATATCATGCTAAGCAAAATCAGACAGAAAAAAGTCAATAACCATATGATTTCACTCATGCCTGGGATATAAAACTGAAAGCAACAAACAAACAAAAACTCACAGATACAGACAACAGTATGGTGGTTACCAGCGGGGAAGGGCATTGGGGGGAGGTAGAACAGGGTAAAGAAAGTCAAATATATGGTGACTCAACTTTGGGTGGTGAACACACAATGCACTATACAGATGATCTATTATAGAAATGTACACTTGAAACCTCAAAGATTTCACTAACCAATGTCACGCCAATAAATTCAATAAAATTTTTTAAAAAAGAAAATCTTTGGGCTGTGAAATTTTTTTGTTTAACAAAGATGACCTCCCTTGCTGCTTGGGGCCGTGGAGAAGATGAGGAGGTTGTGAGGGCCAGGAGGAGAGCGTGCTTGGAGCTGAGTGCAGCTATAGCAGCTGAGGGAAGAGGAGAAAAAGACACGTCCTCCTGGGCCACCCTGTTGTTGTTGTCTTTAAAACTCTCATCTGAGATGGAAGGAGAGAGAGAGAGAGAGAGAGAGAGAGAGGGAGAGAGAGAGAGAGAAAAGAGATAGAGAGGTGGGGAGAGGGAGAGAGAAACACTGACGTGAGAAACATCAATTGGTTATCTTTCCTATGTGCCATCCAGGGATCAAACCCACAACCCAGGTATATGCCCTGACTGAGAATTGAACCTGCAACAACCTTTCCATGCACAGGACGGTGCTCAACCAATGGAGCCACTCTGGCAGGGCGTCCTGGACCACCATAGCCTTTCATACATCCAATGATCTTGGAACATGTTCAGTAAATGAAACTAAGAAAGAATGCAGATTTGGCTTTCTATCCCCAAATTCTGGGGTCCTTGGAGGACAGGTGTGAGGGCTATCACTTCTATGATAAGGACGCTGGGACTTGGGGACATTTCGCACCCTTTAATTTTCTGACTCCGGTGGGGTTAGTGGTTTAGTGTCTGTCCCTGGGCCGGATTGTAGGCAATCTGGCCTGAGGGCGGATCTCTCATTATCACAGGCGGCTGCAGCCCCGTTTAATGTGGTGCCTCACACAGAGATGGACCGGTGCCTGGTGCACAGCTGAGGTTGCAAACAGGCGTCAAGCCAAACTCTTGAAACCATCTCTTCTGCTTTCCAGGCTTGTCCTTGACACATATTTTCTTCCCTAAGAGCCTCAGTAATTTTCATAATTTCTTATTTGTCACTTTCAGCATCTCAAGAGCATTCCAGGATGTTATCTTTATTCATCTCCTTCTCTCGTTTCTCCTCCTTTTAAATTGCTGCTGGGAAAGGAAGTAGTACTTGGGTTTTAGTGCAGGATGGAGCGACGATGACAGGATATTTTTCCTGTAAAAGCACTGTTTATACTGGTATAAAGATTATAGATTTCATTTTCTTTTTAATCCTCACCCGAGGATATTTTTTTCATTGACTTTTAGAGAGAGTGGAAGGGAAGGGGGAGAGACAGAGAGAGAGAGAAACATAGATGCGAGAGACATATCGACTGGTTGCCTCCCGCAAGCCCCCCGACCAGGGCCGGGGATTGGGCCTGCAACCGAGGTACATGCCCTTGACCAGATTCAAACCCAGGACCCTTCAGTCCGCGGGCTGACGCTTTATCCACTGAGCCAAACCGACTCGGGAAAGAATACAGCATTTCCAAGGAAAGAGCTTCTGGGAGTGAATCACTATTATTCTTTGCCTGTTTTATCAAAACAAAAACGCTTCTCTCTGGTAGCATACAACTGCCAACAGTCGCGAGTACAAAAGGCTCGCTGATGCCGTTCGCCTTCCTTTCGGACATCCTGGCTGCAGCCCCCTGCGCGCGGTGGTTCTGGCTGTTCCGAAGTCCCCCCAGGCCCCGGGGGCCACTCAAGTTCAGCTGCACATCCCTTTGAGAGCCTGTTTTATCAAAACAAAAACGTTTCTCTCTGGTAGCATACAACCGCCAACAGTCACGAGTACAAAAGGCTCGCTGATGCCGTTCGCCTTCCTTTCGGACATCCTGGCTGCAGCCCCCTGCGCGCGGTGGTTCTGGCTGTTCCGAAGTCCCCCCAGGCCCCGGGGGCCACTCAAGTTCAGCTGCACATCCCTTTGAGAGGACGCTTACCTGACAGGTCGCGGCAGGAATGGCCACTGCATCCCAGATGCACGTCCCCTCCCCTGTGGGACTGCCCTTTCCCGCTGGCCCTCACCGTAGCCGCAGAGTCCACACTTACATGTCGTCGAAAACGAGTTTCTGCCTCTTGCAGTCCCGGTGGCCGCTGGAGCCCGGGGACCACGGTTCCGTCTGTGGCCGTGGCTTGTGGAGAACACTTTCCGAGCTGTGGTGAGCTGCTTTCTAAACAACAAACAACATGCCGGTTCTGAGAAACTGGCCACGTGGCTGAAAGAGCAACCCATCGCACAGAATATCTTGTGTCCCAGACTCTGTTAGAATCGGTGGTGCTTTTGTTTAAATAAAGAAAAAGAAATATGTGCATCCCAGTTCTCAAAAGGGGCTTTCAGATACAGGGTGGGGCAAAAGTAGGTCTACAGTTGTTCATATGAAAAAAAGCCATGCAGGTAATGATTGTAATGATACAAGAATAAACCCCGTGTTTCGCACACCCACAACTGTAAACCCACTCTGCCCGCCCCTGTATGCTGTGCAGTGTCATCTCACAACAGTATCATCGGAGAAGGCTTGGCGTGGCCTCTCACAGACCTGGGCCCTGCGGTTCGGTGGAGGTCTACAGTTGTTCATATGAAAGAAAGCCATGCAGGTAATGATTGTAATAATACAAGAATAAACCCCGTGTTTCGCACACCCACAACTGTAAACCCACTCTGCCCGCCCCTGTATGCTGTGCAGTGTCATCTCACAACAGTATCATCGGAGAAGGCTTGGCGTGGCCTCTCACAGACCTGGGCCCTGCGGTTCGGTGAGGTCAAGTGACAGCCCGTCTCCCAGTGCTGGGACGGGGGCCCGGGGCTAGCACTCGCCCTGCTCTCCTCCATTGGCGAGACCTGTGGTTCTCCAAGTTGACTCTGCATGAGCTCATTCTGTGCATAGCAGCACACAGACAGCGGCCCCCCTCAGAGCCTCCAGGTCTGTGGGTCAGGGGCAGAGCCTGAGAGCATGCATTTCTAACAAGCTCCAGGTGCTACTTACCACTAAGCTGTAACCCACAATCCCTCGCAAAAGAGGTGTTCAGATTACAAACAGACTGCCTCTTATTCGCTGTCTGTTAAGATTGGAAAAAGCCATAGGGAATTACTAGAAATTATTTAAAATATGTTTTTAAAAGGACACTATTGATTTGTGGAAAAATTAAAAAAATTGTAACTCTTGGGGACACTAATATTTATAGAGCACCCATTGTGTGCATACACTTGGATCAGAAGGCAATTGCCTTTGGTTATGGAATTCAAATCAATTCCTCTGAAGTAACTAAAATAGAAGGTAGCCCGGCCAGTGTGGCTCAGTGGTTGAGCATCGACTTATGAACCAGGAGGTCATGGTTTGATTCCTGGTCAGGGCACAGATCTGGGTTGTGGGCTCGATCCCCAGTAGAGGGCGTGCAGGAGGCAGCCAATCAATGATTCTCTTATTGATGTTTCTCTCTCCCTTCCTCTCTGAAATCAATAAAAAAATATTTAAAAATAGTAGAATGAAAAAAAAGTGACAGAGTGTATGCCAATGCTCCTTTCAGTGTGGACCGATTTTATGTGGGGATCAGCCTCCTCGCTGTAAGAGCCCCCGTGCATTTCCTTCTTGCAGGCGCGGTCGGAACCGCCGATGTGTGGCCCCTGTCTAAGTTGCTCTCCCCAGCTGGACGGGAGGTTTCACGGAGGCTCAGATTGAATCTGCTAGACTGTCCTTGCGTCTCTGCTGCTGGGCACAGTGCCCAGCACCCAGTAAGCACTTGCTCAATAACCATCTAGTCAGGGAAAGAATGACTAAATAAAGTCTCTATTTTTTTACAAATTTCTGCACACCATACAATGTTTTGCTTGTGCTATAAGGACCTAGAGGCAAAGAGAAGTTTTGTTTGTTTTTAAATTTGAATTGGTAGTTTTTTATTTCAGGTTTTCCTAATATGGTTTTCTCAGATTCTTATAGTTTAGAATTAAATATAATTGTTCCCAAATGAGGGCACTTTAGAGGGTTAATTTCCTGATACAATGAGATTTAGGCTCTTGTAAGACCTTCTACTAACCCTTTGATCTCATTATGGGATAAAGCATTGAGTACTGCCTCCCCATCTCCTTGTCGAGTCATATTCTCATATCTCACCTCCCCCAGCCTCACAAAGCCCCACTGGTTTTGACAGGCACAGTGACGGAGCGAATGCAGTGGGGAGATGTGGAATGAAATAATGTAGCCCAGCGGATGCGTGGTCCAGCACCCAGCTGGGGGGCAGTACAGAGGAACTAGCTTGTAGTGTTAGTTGCACAGATGTCCACAGGTGTTGGGTTCTTTAGATAACATCATCTCATTTAAATCTTATGATGCTGTTTTGCAAATGAAACAGGCTCAGAGAGACGAAACAAGTGACCCAAGGCCACGTGTCCACTAATTATGAAGCTAGATGGATGGTGCACCCCAACCCCCTCCCCTCCCCAGGGGAGTGTAGGGCACTGGAATCACCCCAGGAGGTTGCCTAAAGAGGGGTGGTGGGGGTCCCACACTGTGGCTGCTACACTGGTCACCCAGGTTGGAGGGGGAACCCCAACATTTTGGCCTGGGGTTTCCATTCCAGGCTTAGCTCTGTTCTGGGACAAGGAATCTTTTCAAATGAAAGGGTGGGTTGGTCCCAAACTCCCGATCTCCTTTGTCTCGTGATAGTATTACTCTGGGCTGTTGTTTTCAGAATGGGGAACGAAACCCCACAGGCTTGCTGAGCAGAGGGCTCCTCAGTTTCTCCTCCTGCAGTTGTCCCTGCGCCAAATCTTCCCAGAACAGCCTTAGGGATCCTTTCTGGAACCTCAAGTGTGTGTCCAGACCGTGCTGGGCTAAGACAGGTGGCGTGTCGGGGTGTGCTCAGCTTCATTTCACATTCAATGGGGACAGGAAGAGCATCAACGTACCGTGAGGTCTGCGGCATGAGCCGGCAGCTGGCTCTCCGCCTTGAGCTTTTTGTTGGAGGCGGTGGAAGGGAACAAGCCACTGCCGCTGGACCTGCTGGAAGACGTCAAGTCCTCGCTGGAGTATTTGTGTTTAGAGGCGTCGGAGAGGGGTGAGATGGGCGACCGGAGCAGCTTTTCATTTTTATTGATGGGTATTGCCAAGCTGCAAAAGAAAATCACAGTAATGGAATGTCACAAGCCAGCACAGGGAGAAGTAAATGTCTTATATATGACCCAAGCCTCCTATTTAAAGCCTGCTGGCAGCAAGACGTTTATGGGGAATTATTATACCCGGAAACAATTTTATGGCATTAGGACCATAACAAACAATAAGCAAATTTCACTCATTGTTTCTTTACTTGTCCTACAGGATGAAGAGTAACTCTGGAGTTAAATAACTAAGAATAATAAGACTTTCATTTTCTAAGTTTTTCACCCATGGATCTCAAAATGCACAACCAACTTCTTCCTGTTTTCCTACTAAGTGTCAGCAGCAAGCAATGAGGAGTCAATCAAATGACATACTTGTTCCTACTTCTAAAAGGACTTTTGCTAACAGCTGAGCTTATACTAATTATTTTATGGAGAATAACAGGATTACAGAATGATTTGCAAAGCAAGAAGCAACTTTCAATTGTTAGGTTTCCCAGCTAACCAGGCATTGATCAGAATGAACACAGAACAAAAAAATCATCAGAAGTGACATTTTCGAATTCTAGCTCCTGATTTTACCTTCAAAACTACAGTCTGGAACTCCCTCCCCGCTCCCCCCCTCTACACACACAGACACACACAATTAACCATCAGAGAAGTTAGTCATTATCCTTGAGTTATTGTTAGGACTCTCTCCATTACTTAATTTGAAAAAAATTGGGAAAAGACACATGAGCTTGAAAGAAACTCAACCATTGCTAATTTGGGATGCTTGTAGAAGTCCCCTGATAGTCAGTTAAAAAAAGAAAAGGTAAATTCATTTAACAAAATGTAGTCATTATTCCCACAGTTATGATTGTATGTGTTGGCTATCCCTGCAAACAAATCATTAAAGTCACTTCAAAAGCAATTTCCTTAGTTGGTGGTGACCATGTAGAAATAGCAAACACAGGCCTCAGATGACAAAGCCAAGGCTCTCGAGATTATGCAAATAGACATGTTTAGGGATAGAATCTGTGGTGATCGATTTCTGGTTCAAAAAGCACTGGACGACTAACAGCTCAGCAGTGGGAAGGCACGTCTGAAAAACTGCCGAGGGCCAATCACAGTCACTGGGCTAGTGATGATGGAGGCGCTGACGGTGCAGATGGATGTGAACAGTCTGAATAGAACTGTTTCTTGACATGTGAGTGAAAAAAGTCCCATATCTAACTCTATCATTGTACATATATGTGATTTTAAATGTTCATGGAAATTGGATTATTACATTGTACTATCATGGACATATGATTATTTCTTCTTTATCATTATAAGTTTATATAGTCAAGTTAACCAAAGAAACTTTCTTTGGATCTCCTTTTTGGGATGGGTGACCTCTTTACATATGGGGTTGTCCTATCACACGGGTATAACTGACAGCAGTCAGCACCAACCCGGGGGTACCCAGACCGCCTTTCCTAGAAAGTACTCAAGGCACATTGCTATACACTGTGTCATCACTTAACATGAACCCACCAGACAGGGCATGTGGGGAAGCACGGGACTTGGTTGGAAAGTCTGTAAGGAGGATTCTCCGAAAGGTCGGGGGCCTCTGGGGGGACCCTGCCGAAGGCGGCAGCCCCTACCGTGACTTTTCCAAACAAGTCCGATCCTCAGTGTGTTTTGCTAGAATCTCTATGTTTGGTCTTTAGACATGACCTTGTAGAAGCATATACTTTCTTTAAGGATGCTTACCCTGCTGATTGTATCTAGAGGTTAATTTTAGTTCAAGCTGTTGCTACAATAAAAACCTAAGGAGGCAGGCAATCGAGGCTTTTTTGATGCCTTATGCCAACTAGCCCCTTAGCTTCTGTTTCACAGAAATGTGTGTCAGAGTAATCATTCACCCGTCGTTCAGGGTCTGCCGGTCAGCCCCGGCAGGGCAGGCTCTGCCAGGCAAAGGCTCTACTGCAAGAGCTTATGAGTCCTGGGCTCCATGTAGGATGGAAGTGACACCCTCACTCTCAATAACCTCTCACTGAAATTGAGCATAATGAATACCGTTTATAATCATCACTACAATCATGGTAGTTACACATGTGCTAGAAAGGTTACTTATCCTGGCCGGGGTGGCTTAGTGGTTGAGTGTCAGTCAACCTATGAACCAGGTGGTTCACTCCTGTTCAGGGCACATGTCCGGGTTGTGGACTCGATCCCCAGTAGGGGGCATGCAGGCGGTTCACTCCTGCTGTTCAGAGCACATGTCCGGGTTTTGGACTCGATCCCCAGTAGGGGGCATGCAGGAGGCA